GGTGAATTTCACCAAACATTAAAAAAATTACAACCTATTCTCAAACTGTTCCAAAAAGTTGAAGAGTAGATAGAGTCCCAAACTCATTTTACAAGGCTAACATTACCCTGATATCAAACCAGACAGACACTACAAAAAAACTTTAGGCCAACATCCCCAATGAACATAGATGCAAAAATCCTGAACAAAATATTAGCAAACCACATTCAGCAATATATTAAAAAGATCATACGTTATAACCTGGTGGGATTTATTCCTGGGATGCAAGTTTAGTTCAATATCTACAGATAAATTGACATGATACACCAAATAAAATGAAGGATAAAAGTCATATGATAATATCAACAGATGCAGAAAACCTATTTTAAAAATATCCAACATCTATTTATAATAAAAAGCAAAGTGGGAATGGAGGAGACATACCCTAACATAATAAACGCCATATATGCCAAACCCACAGCTAACATCATACTCAAAGATGAAAAGCTGACATTTTTTTCTTTAAGATTAAGAACAAGACAAGGTTGTCCACTGTCACCACTCTTATTCAATATTGTATTGGAATTCCTAGCCATAGCTACTGAACAAGAAAAAGAAATAAAAGGCATCCAAATTGGAAAGGAAGAAGTAAAACTGTCATTATTTGCAGATGGCATGATACTATATAGAGAGAACCCTAAAGATTCCACCCAAAAAGTGATTAGAACTGTTACATTAATTCAGAAAAGTAGGATAGAAAATTAATATTCATAAATCAGTTACATTTTTATACACCAATAACAAACTATCAGAAAAAGAAATTTAAAAAACAATTTCATTTACAATTGCATTGAAAAGAATGAAATATCTAGAAATAAACTTAATCAAGATGGTAAAAGACTTGTATTCAGAAAACTAAAAGACACTGGAGAAATAAGTTGAAGGAGATATAAATAAATGGAAGGATATACTGTGCTCACAAATGGGAAGAATTAACATCATTGAAATGTTTATACTACCAAAAGCAATCTACAGCTTCAGTGCAATCCCTATCAAAATAACAATTTCATTTTTCACAGAACTGGGCCAAATAATCCTAAAATTTATACAAAACCACAAAAGACCCCAAATACCCAAAGCAATACTGAGAAAGAAGAATTAAGTTGGAGGTATCATGCTGCCTGATATAAAACTATGCTACATGCTGTAGTAATCAAAACACCATTGTCCTATCATAAAAATAGACACACAAATCAATAGAACAGAATAGAAAGCCCAGAGATAAACCCACACCTATATTGTCAATTAATTTATGATAAAGGAAGCAAAAATATACAATGGAATAAAGATAGTCTCTTCAATAAATGGTGTTGGTAAAATTGGACAAATTTATGCAAAAGAATAAAACTGGATCACTTTCTTACACCAAATACAAAAATAAACTTAAAATGGACTGAAGACAAATTTAAGACCCCAAATCATAAAATTCCTAGAAGAAAACATAAGCGGTATACTTTTTGAAATTGCTCTTAGTAAATTTTTTTTGGATATGTTTCCTTGAGCAAGGGAAATGAGAGCAAAAATAAACAAATGGGACTTCATCAAACTAAAAAGTTTTTGCACAGTGAAGGAAACCATCAACAAAATGAAAGAACAATCCACTGACTGGAAGAATGTATTCACCAACAATACATCTGATAAGGGGTTAATATGCAAAATATATAAAAACTCATACAACCTAATACCAAAAAGACCAAGCAATTTAATTTTAAAAATGGGCAGAGGACCAGAGCAGACATTTCTCCACAGATGGCCCATAGACATATAAAAAGATGCTCAACATTACTGATTATCAGGGAAATGTAAATTAAAACCACGGTGAGATATGACCTCACACCTCTCAGAATGGCTGTCATTAAAAAATCAACAAGTGTTGGTCAGAATGTGGAGAAAAGGGAATGCCTATGCACTGTTGGTGGGAATGCAGACTGGCGCAGCCACTATAAAAAACAGCATGGAGTTTCCTCAAAAAATTAAAAATAGATCTACCTTATAACCCAGCAATTCCACTTTTGGTATTTATCCAAACAAATCCAAAGCACCAATTTGGAAATATATATGTACCTCTGTGTTCAATGCATCATTATTTACAATAGCCAAGATATGGAAGCAACATAGCTGTCCATCAGTGGCTGAATGGAAAAGGAAGATATGATACCTATTTACAAGGGAATATCACTAAGTCATAGAACGAATGAAATCTTGTCATTTGCAACATCATGGATGGACCAGACAGGTATTATGCTAAGTGAAATAAGTCAGACAGACAAATACTGTATGGTTTCACTTATATGTGGAATCTAAAAAACAAAATAATGAATAAAAAAGCTCAAACTCATAATTAGAGCATATTTATGGTTACTAGATTTGGCAGCAGGGGTGGGGGCGTGGGGAGGATAAAAAAAAAAGTGAGGGGATTAAAAAGTACAAATTTTGCCCTGGCTAGTGTGGCTCAGTGGATTGAGCACTAGCCTGTGAACCAAAGGGCTGCCAGTATGATTTCAAGTCAGGGCACGTACCTGGGTTGAAGGCCAGGTCCCAAGTTTGGGGTGTGCAAGAGGCAACCACACATTGATATTTCTCTCCCTCTTTTCCTCCCTCCATTTCCCTCTTTCTAAAAATAAATAAATAAAAACTTTTATTAAAAAAAATGAAGTACAAATTTCCAGTTATAAAACACTCATGGGACTTCCAGCCAAGATGGATGCATAGGTAGAAATACTGTTCCTCCTCACACAACCAAATTTAAGGGCAACAAAGATTTAGAAACAAAAACACAACCAGAACAGACAGAAAATTGAACTACACTGAAGCCCGACAACAACAAACCATTCATCCAGACCAGTAAGAGGGGTGGAGTCAGAGGCAGGAGGAGAGGGGTCCTGGCAGGAAGAGGTGGTGGTTGGCACAGTGGGGTATGGGTGAGCAAACTTAGTGAGATGCGCAAGGCAGTTGGCTGACTGGGGACACACATTTGTGTGCAGATAAACCAGGCAAAAAACGGGTAGTGAGACAAACCACACAACCCAGGGCCCCAGCACTGGGAAATAAAGGCTAAAAATACCAAATGAAATAACTTTCCAGGGTTGAGGTACCTAGAGAGGCTCCCAGCCTCACAAGAGAGTTTGTTGGAGAGACCCACAGGGTTCTAAAATGTACAGTACACAAGCCCACCCACCCGGGAACCTGAGAGAGAGCAGAACAAGCGCCATTGCTCCCTCTCTGACCCCACCCCCACATAGAGAGTCACAATCCAGTCACTGGGTTGACCTGCCCTGGTGGACACCTAAGGCTCCGCCCCTCATATGTAACTGGCATGATCTGACCAAAAATGGCTCAATCAGGACAAATTAAAGCCCCAGAGCCAATACTTTTAAGTGACAAAGAGATAGCCAACCTATCAGATGCACAGTTCAAAACACTGGTGATCAGGATGCTCACAGAACTGGTTGATTTTGGTCAAAAATTAGATTAAAAAAACTAAAAGCTACACTAAGTGAAATGAAGAAAAATGCACAGGGAACCAATAGTGATGAAAAGAAAATTGGGACTCAAATCAATGGAGTGGACCAGAAGAAAGAAACATCCAACCAGAAAAGAATGAAGAAACAAGAATTCAAAAAAAAAAAATCAGGAGAGGCTTAGGAACCTCCAAGACATCTTTCAATGTTCCAACATCCAAATTATAGGGGTACCAGAAGGGGAAGAGGAAGAACAAATTGAAAAGTTATTTGAACAAATAATAATGGAGAACTTCCCCAATCTGGCAAAGGAAATAGACTTCCAGGAAGTCCAGGAAGCTCAGAGAGTCCCAAAGAAGTTGGACCCAAGAAGGAGCACACAAAGGCACATCATAATTACATTAGCCAAGATTCAAATGAAGGAGAGAATCCTAGAAGCAGCAAGAGATAAGGGGACAGTCACCTACAAAGGAGTTCCCATCAGACTGTCAGCTGATTTCTCAAAAGAGACCTTACAGGCAAGAAGGGGCTGGAAAGAAGTATTCCAAGTCATGAAATCCAAAGACCAACATCCAAGATTGGTCTATCCAGCAAAGCTTTCATTTAGAATGGAAGGGCAGATAAAGTGCTTCTCAGATAAGGTGAAGTTGAAGGAGTTCATCATCACCAAGCCCCTATTACATGAAACATTAAAGGGACTTATCTAAGAAAAAGAAGATAAAAAAGATGAACATTGAAAGGCCAGCAAACTCACAGTTACTAACAATCACACCTAAAACAAAAGCAAACTAAGAGGACAGCTAGATCAGGAGCAGAACCATAGAAATGGAGATCACAAAGAGGGTTAGCAACAGGGAAGTGGGAGGAGGAGAGGGTGGGAGAAGGTACAGAGAATAAGTAGCATAGATGGTATGGAGAAAATAGGAGGAGGGCAAGAATGGTATGGGAAATATAGAAGCTAAAGAACTTATGACACATGGGCATGAACTAAAGGGGGGAATGTGGGTGGGAGAAGGTGTGCAGGGTTGAGGGGAATGAAGCAGGGGAAATGGGCAACTGTAATGGCATAATCAATAAAATATATTTAAAAAACCCCCCAAACCCCAAAACACTCATGGTATGTCCCCATAGACAATAGAGTTAGTAATATAGTAGCTACTATGTATGGTGTCAGGTGACTACTACACTTGTTGGGGGGATTGCTTCAAAAGTTATATAAATGTCTAATCACTGCACTGTACATCTGAAACTAATATAATATTGTATGCCAACTTTAATTGAAAATTGTTTTTAATTTAGAAAAAGAAAAAGTCTCAATGATCAGGTCTTTTCTTCTCCTGCTTCCTGCCTGCCTGTAGACTTCTGAGTATTTTGACTATTTCGTCTTTTTCACCCTGTGATGACCTCCTTTTACCTCGACTCCTGACTCCCCACTCTGAAGACCCTCTGTAGTTAGTCCTGGTGCCTTCCACCCACTCAAAGACCATGCAGGTAACTTACCTGGACCGGACTCTAAGCCTCTGTTCTCTGATCCCTGGTACCTTCCCCAGTTGTCTGATTTGGTTTCAGCTTTCCCGGTCTTCTGTCTCTTGAGCTCTGATTGGAGGGTCACGTGGCTCGGGAACTTGTTCTCACAAAAGTACATGCATTGTTTAGGGTGACGTCCACAGATAGAGGTGCAGCTGATACAGTCCCTCAGGAGCTGGTCATAGTACCTGCCTTGCTCCTTGTGACAACTTAGTGCCTCTGAAAGACAGATATGAATGATGCTAGTATGTAATGGAGGCCTTTAGAAACTGTGGGTCTGGCCTCATCAAAGGGCATCAGAGTTTTTTAAAAATCACAATCTAGTTCCCCCAAAGCAATTCCATGGTAATCCTAGTCCTTTTTCAATATCCAAATATAAGGCAAACAATAGTACCTTAAGTATTGTTTTAACCATGTCACAGAAATTTTGATATGTAGTATTTTTATATCTAGTATTAAATGGTTTTACTTTTCATTTTTATTTCTCCTCTGACCTACATATTATTTAGAAGTACATGCTTTAGTTGCTATACATGCAAGGACTTTTCAGTTATCTTTTAAAACTGATATGTAGGCAATTACATTGTCACTAAAGTTTCTTGTTTGCATTTTTCAAGCCTCATGAAGAAGAAAAATATTTTATGTCAAAATAAGGATTGAAGAGGAAAGACATCATTCTCCTTGGCAAGTTGGGAGAGGTGGGTGGGAGGAAGGTAGGAAAGCTGAAAATATTGGTAGTTCATCTGCCTTAGTAATACATGAGTATTGCAGGAGTTTATACAGGCATCAGCGCCAAGCAGCAGAAGCCAACCACAGCAAGGGGTAACCACACTTCCATTAAGAGAACAACTTTGAGAGCATAACAGAAATCTATACTTTCCCAGGGCATCTTTCCATTGTCTTTAAAATAAGACCCTATTTATATAAAAATGTGGCTCCCATGGGGGCTTCTAAGGGCACATTTCAGAGGCAATGCAAGACAAAAGTTAACAACACAGCCTTCAAAGCCAAGTAGTTCAACTACTTGCAAGTTGTAGGGTCTTAACTTCTATATGCCTCAGTTTCCTCATTTCCAAGCAAGGGGTAATAACAATATTGACTTTTTAAGGTTGTTATGAGGATGTGAAGTCCTCAGCACAATACCTGACACATAACACATGAATGCTCAGTTAACGGAAGGTTTAAGTAGAATATTCACTGTGCCTCTTTGCAATACAAACACATAAACAAGATTATGCCCTTGACAGATTAATAAAAAAGACCATAAAGATGGTGAAATCATGATCTCAGGAAGTCTCTGATGATCCTGATCTACTAGTGACCTCCCTTGCCCTAGCCCTGCCCTGTCCCCAGGGTTCCACTGAGCCACACAGGACTACTGCCACTGCCATTCATGAGACAGAGTTAGCCTGATGGCTGCAGTGTTCCTTGGGGTTTTCGTGACTTCCTCCCCTCCTCAGGAATCCTAGTGTGGCTGTTGCAGGTGGTGCTTGAGTTCCCCAGACCACCAACCCTCACTGCCTGACTCACAAACCTTTCCTCTGGCCCTTGATCTTCCCTGTTCTGTTTTCCCGTGTCCATGCCTTTGTCCACACTCACTCCTCTCCAAGGGTGCCCTTCCCCCTCACCGGACTTTCACATCTGCAAGCTCTAACAATCCATTTCAGGGGGCACGTCCTCTAAGAACACTTCCGTGCTCCCCAACCTATCAGCTAGAGGTGGTTTCTCCCTACTGTGGTGTTTTATGGTACTTTACCTTTATAGCTTAATACGTAGTCATTTCCCCCATTAGATGATAACTTTCTGTTATTGGGTCATGTGAAATTCCTATTTTAAAGGGGCTAGAGAGTTCCATGAATACTTGCATAATGACACCATGAGTGTTTTACTTCATTAATGGATAATGACTCACAGTCATGGTTTTAGAGTCAAAGAGTTCTGGCTCAGATCCTAACTTTTCCACCACCACGCTGTGTGATCTTGGGCAAGTCATTAAGCCTCTCTGAGCTCCACTTAACAAATATTTATGAAGCACTTGTTATGTGTCAGGCTGACAGTCTGGCAGTTGAAACAGATATGTAACAAGTATATATGACAGAACATAATACAAGTTGTGATAAGTTCCACTAAGAAAAAGAACAAGTAATGCAAAAGAACAGCAAGCAAAATGTATTTTTCAAGACAATCAGAGAAAATTAGGTATGGCCTGAGTAAAACAATGTTAAGGGATTATTGCAGGGGGTGATAAGATATTGATGTTATATTTTAAAGGCCCTATGTGTTAGGGATTCACGATCTAGTATTTACAGGTAAGTGATGTGAAGTTTTTGATTTGCTTTAAAATATAGAAGCTAAAACAAGTGCTTGGGTAATAAAAAGGCAGAATTTTTAAGGCTGATTGCTAATGAATAAACAGGAGTCTATTATGCTATCTTCTCTATGTTTGATAATTTTGTAATAAAACATTTCAAAAGAAAGAAAGAACAGAGGACAGGGCCTAATTTCTGTTGGGCAGTCAGACCTTTGGCATTTGGGCTGAGACCTTGAGGCTGGGTCAGAGACAGCCAAGGGAAGAAGAATGAGGAAATGCTCTTCATGCAAAAGGTGCAGCATGTACAAAGGCCTGAGGCAGGAAAGAACACAGCATGTTCAAGAAACTGCAGAGAGGCCAGTGTGGCCAGAGCAGAGAGATGGAGGGCAACAGGATACCACATTGCACATGGCCCTCCACAACCCCTCCTCAGGCAGCCAAGTGCAGTAGGGCCAGAGGGACCGTGGGGAGGTAAAGAGGGGTGATCCAGCCACCCTCTTGGCTCAGGCCCCAGAACTCACTGCAGAAGGTTGTACAAGAACGTGGAATCCGATGACTGCAGATGGATTTGCAGGAGAGGCAGACGTTCAGCAGGGTGTCCCAGTATTGTTCTTCGGGGCACGGCTCCATGGTGATGGCAGGCTCTGTGGAGCAGAGGGGCAGGGAGCATGAGGGCAGCTGGCACACTGCTGGAGGCTGGACAGCAGGAGACCTCTCCTGTTCATGTCCCCAGACTCTGTCTCAGAGAGCAGAGGGAAACCTAGACAACGCTGGCTCCCACCGCCTGCTGCAGTAGCTAGGGGACCTGGAGCAGCCACCTCACCTCCCTGAGCCTGCGTTTTCCAATCTCCCTCTCATCAGCCATGCCCCTCTTGGCACCGTTCTCTGCTGTCTTTAATGTGCCATGCCTCTTCCTACCACAGGATTTTGGCACATGCTGTTCCACTAACATAAAATGCTCCCTTCCCCCTCCTTAGCTGGTTGTTTCCTCCTCTCCCGTTAGATCACTGCTTTAACTTCATCTCCTCAGGGGACCCTTTCTGACCCTTCCACCCAGACAGACAAGGAGAGACGCCTTCCTTCCGCACACAGATATGCCCTTTAGTTGTCACTTCACTTTTCTGAGTATGATTATTTAATATTGACAGTGAACATCATGAGGGTAGGGGCACCATATAATTTTTTGTTCACTGCTGGGTCCTCAGAACCTAGATAGTGCCTATAATAAGTAGGTGCTCAATGAATGAATAAATAAAAACAAAAGCGGGCCTAGCTAGTGTCCTGCATACAGCAAGCACTAAATAATTGACCATGTCTCTTCATTTTTTAATTAAGGTATGAGACACACACAATGTCATGTGTAACATACACAAATGTCAAATGTGCAGCTTGATAAATTTTTCTTTATGTGTATGGTGGTCTGTCTTTTCTTGTGGGGGATACATTCCAAGAGCCCCAGGGGATTCCTGAAACTGCAGAGAATACCAAACCCTATATGTATTGGTTTTTTTCCTACACATACAAAGCTGTGATATGTGTTTAACTTATAAATTCAGCACAGTAAGAGATTAACAACAATAACTTATAATAAAATAGAACATTTATAACAACATACTATAATAAAAGTTATGTGAATGTGGCCTCTCTCAAAATATTTTATTCTACTGTACTCACCTTTTCACATACAAAAACCAATTCTCAGCTTCTCTTTGGTGCATCTGAATGGGGAGCGTCACCGCCTTTGTGCTCTGAGGTTGTTAAGTGGAGTGACACAAGCAGTGCAGCACAGTGGCGGCTGCTCTGATCACTGAAGTGTAGGCAGTGGAGATGCTGGACAAAGGGGCGGAGTGGGACCGTGTGAAATATCATGCTGCTCAGAACAGTGCACAGTTTAAAACTTTATAAATGGCTTATTTCTAGAATTTTCCATTTAATATTTTTGGACCACTGCTTACTTGGGGTAGCTGAAAGTGCAAAAAACAAAACTATATGTAGGAGGGCATCTGTGTCACTACCACCCATACCAAGGCAGAGAATATGCCTCCCACCCTGAAGACTCCCTTGGGCCCTCTCCCAGCCAATACCCACTTCCAGAGGTAATTCCTCTCCTGACTTTTATCACTGGAAGTTGTTAAATTGCCCATTCTTGGGCTTGATGTCTGTGTGTGTTGGCCCCAGGAAGTATCAGGGACTCCTCCCTGTCGCAGGGTCTGCCAGCAACCTGCCTGCAGTAATGAATTTTTCCTCTGTGCAAACCCATCACCTCTCCATTGTGCTCTGTCTGATTCCATGACACTTGCTTCCCCAATAATTTTGCCTTTTAAACACCCTGCAAGGCACTTAATCTCATTTTTTTTTAATGAAAGGAAGCTGAGAAAAGACCAGTGGCTCCCTGCTTAACATGGCAACTTAAACACATGGGTTTATTTTCTTGTCCTCTTGAAACCCTCCTAAGAGAGCAGGAAAAAATATCTGTTCTCAAAGAAAAGAGAACAGAAGAAGTTACTCTAGCAGGGTACAGATATCAGCAGCATTTTGGAAGATGTGAGGCAGATGGTGGGGGTGAGTGACTTTGGTCTAAGATCTCTCTGCTCTGATGTTCCTAGAGGGGACAGATCCCTGGGCAGTTTCTTGAACTGGAGGCATCAAGTATCTCTGATAGTGGGGAATAGGAAGGCAAAGTAATGAAGAAAGTATTGGTTAGATATTTATATAAAGAGGGCTTGCCCTTAGTCAGATTTTCATCTCCTGGCAGGCAATAGCCCCTTGTCCCCCAGGCGGATGATCAAAGGTCTCCTCAGATACTCTCCCATGCACTAGGGAACCAAAGCCTTAAGCCCGGCATGTACCCTGACTGGGAATTGAACTGGTGACCTTCTGCTTTTCAAGATGACACCCAACCTGAGCCACATCACACTGGTCATGGTGTGGCTATGTTTTTTAAAATTTCTTCTTCACAGTCCTACTGTAATGGGGGAGCACCCCCACTGGAAAGGAGGAGGAGTGGAGAAGCACCAAAGACTACAACTGGCTGGGAGCTAAATTGCCAGAGGGATTGTGAGTGATGCTGCCATAGGGCTCCAGGACCTACCTATCTGGGAGCTCAGTAGACTTGGGGTTGGAGGTCGGGGTGGAGAGGCTCAGGAGGAGGTCAGCAGGGAGGCTAGGGAGCACACAGAGGGAGACTCAGCCAGCAGACTTGGAGAGGGCCAGGGTTACAAGTCCTGTGTTCCTCCCCCAGGTGGGAAGATATGGCAGCTGCTGCCCATCCATGCCCCACACCTCCAGCCCAGGCCAAGCCCCACTCCCCATCCCAAGCTGGAAGCCATAGTGGCTGCTGCCTGCCTGTGACCCATGCCAGTGCAGGCCATTTGGCTATAGCCCCAGTGCAGCTAGGGAGGGTCAGGGCCAGAGTTCCTCCCTGAGCACTTTAAGCTTGACCCAGAGCACTGCCGGCATCAGGAGCAAGGAGCAAGGCCTGTAAGAAGGGGGATAGGAGATTAGGGCCAGGAGGTCCTGGGAGGCAGATCCCAGGAGGTGGTCTGTGGCCCTTCCCTGGCAGAAAATCACTGTGGTGGCCACCCGATGGCAGGTTGCTTGCTTCCCTGGCAGCAGGGGCAAGAGTGGGCATCAAATTTATATATATATATATATATTCCATTTACCTTTCCATCAGACTCTTGTCTCCAGTTATTGCCTATGGGCAGCAAGCAGTGGGACCCCACTGGTTGTTTGGTTACAGCAGTGGTGCCCAGTGTGGGCCCCTAGCTGCTTGTGGCAGGTCAACCCCCACCCCCTGCACCAGGGAGTGGGACTGTGGGGCTTCCCAGTTGCTGGGAATTTCTCTACACACCCGTTGGGGCATGAGCCACTTAAACATGCCTGGTAGATGGAAAGGAAACAGGTCTGGGAAAGAAATAGACTCTGGGAAGGAGGATCACCTGAGTTTTAGGGCTGTGAACTGGAGTCCAGGTGGGAACTGGCCATTGTTGGGGAGGCCATTGCTTGAGTTCACTGATTGTGAGACTGGCTTACAGAAAAACTTGCTGGTGAGCATTTGTTGAAATAATAGAATTGCAGATGCCAATATTCTCTGTATGTTCCCAGGTTGCCTGGCTTCTTTTGGTCATAGGGTTGGGCCTGTTGTGTATCTGGACCAGCAGGGGTCATTCTGAGTTGGTTCCTAGAGGGAGCCCACTGTGTAGATTTTAGCAGACTGGGGTATGTATAGCCATTATCCAATGTCTAAGGAAGTGTTAGTTTATTACTGTAATACCCTGTGGCCTATGTATGTTTTGAATTATGGGGAAAGATGGCCCATGGGTGATTCCCTAGACCACCATACTATTATGCAACTGGAACAGTATTGTCAATAGTTGCATAAGTGGGATGAAATCCATTATTTCAAGGCATTTATGTCATTGCATAACAGGGTTCACCAGAGACAGATGTCCACTTAATGGTGCAGAGAAGTCAAGGGCCCTTGAAACACTTTCCTGACTGTACAAAGGAAGAAAAGAATGAGGAAATGGGCCTTGTTAATGTCCTGAACTCAAAAGACACAAGTTGCATGGCAGGTGTCCCTCTGTTGTCATCCCCATTGGAAGCTACCCATGAAATAGGGCCCAAAGAACCAATGGTCAAACCCCTGTATGATGAAGAATGGGTCTCTCCCTTGAAGACCTATCAGGGGACCCAATTTGACCAGGGAGCCTCCCTATCAGGAAGAAAGCAGTTTCCTTTGAGGCAGTACCCTATAGGTGGAGTAAATCAGGAAGGCCAGCCTGCTGGCTACTATTGGGCCCATATTCCACTCTCCACTTCAGACTTGCTGAATTGGAAGAATTTCAGCCCCTTATACAGGGAAGATCCTCAGAGAATGGCAGACCTTATCACCTCCATTTTTGCCACTCATCATCCAACACAGGCAGGTCTACAGGCTCTCCTCAATGCTTAGTTAACAGCAGATGAGAGACAGCTGGTTATAAATAAGGTTAATGAAAAGGCCCAATGTCTCTAAGAGAATTGTAATAGGATCCCCGACCCAGCTGAAGCAATGCCCTTAACAGAGCCTGGCTGGAATCCAAATGGTGGGGACCTACCCTTCCTGGAACATTACAGAAAGTATATTCTGGAAGGGCTTAAGGAAAGGGTGCCTAAGCCAAAGAGCTTGAACATGATAATACTAGCTCTTTGGCAAAAGCCAGATGAGGATTCTTCTGAATTTTTTGAGAGGATCTGTCAGGCCCACAGAAAGTACACTTTCCAGAGTACATATTCTCTGATGCTGATCCATAGGCACCAGAGAATGTGCAAATGGTGAACATGACTTTTATTGGGCAAAGTGCCCTGGATATCAGAAGGAAACTCTGGTGTTTAGATGGGACATTGGGAAGAATCCCTCTCAGCTGGTAGACTTAGTTTTTAAAGTCTACAATGACTGGGAAGCAAGGAAGATAAAGCAGGGCATGATGTTCTTGGAAACAAGGTGGCGAGACCAGAGGAAGTGGTGGGACCCTAAAGACAAAAAGAGAGGCCCACTAGGTGCTAATCAATGTTCTTATTGCAAGGAGGCGAGCCATTGGAAAAAGGAGTGCTTGAAATTCAAAAGGGAAAGTAGGGATGAAAACCCTCTGGGTAATGCTAAAAAGGTGAGGGGAGTCTAATGATGAATGAGGATGAGTCCAGGGGCTCTTTTGGACATCTCCCAATATATTACTGTATAACCACAGAAGACCTGGGTACAGTTGATGGTGGGGGAACAAGCTAATTGATTTCTTTGTAGATATGGGAGCTACATACTCAGTGTTGAATACAAAAGTAACCAAGGAAAGTTCAGATACAGTAATGGTTACTGGAGTGACAGGACAATTACAAAATCAGGCATTCCTTCAATGCCTAGGATGACATCTTTGTGATTGAAAGATCATACATAGTTTTCTCAACATGCCAGACTGCCCTATTTAATTGCTGGGCTGTGATTTAATTTGCAAACTGCATGCATAAATAACTTTTTCTCCTGAAAAGCAGCAACTATGTATAGAGGTCCTACTGGAAGATGTCCTCCAGCTCCAGACACTTCTGACCTGTCTGGAAGGTCCTGGAGGTGAACTCTTCCCACCTGAGATCTATGAACGGGCGGATCAAACCATTTGGACTGATGGAACCCCAGGTAAAGTAGTTCACATTCAACCCATAAAAGTTAACCTAATAGAGCGGGCACAAATTCCCATGGAAGAAACAGTACCCCTCAAAAAGGAGGCTTTAGAGGGGATTCAGCCAGTATTTCAGAAATTCTTAAAATCGAGACTAATTTGGTCATACCAAGCTCCCTATAACACTCCCATTTTGCCAGTCAAAAAGCCTTACTTGGACAAATATCAATTTGTACAGGATCTTAGAGCCATTAATGACATTTTTCAGGACATTCATCCTACAGTGCCTAATCCCTATACTCTGTTGACCATGGTGCCTGGAAATAGTATATGGTTTTCAGTCCTACACTTGAAGGATGCCTTTTTCAGCATCCCAATAGACGAACAGGCTCAACTACTATTTGCCTTTGCATGACACGATCCAGAAACAAAAGCCACACTCCAGTACTGCTGGACTGTGCTGCTGCAAGGACTTAAGAACTCCCTGACTACATTTGGTGAAGAAAATGACGTAAGGGATATGCGACTGAAATCAAGAGTTCTTCTACTATATATAGATGGCATATTGTACCTAGTAGCACCTATGAGGACTGTTTACTCAAAACCACTACAGTCCTAAATCATTAGCAAAAGGGGGATATAAGGTATCACCTCACAAGGCCCAGATTTGCAAAT